CGCGGCGCTGGGAGGGCCGCCCCTGGACTCCTGTGTCCAATTCTGGGCTCCCCAGTACGAGAGAGAGATGGAGCTAGTGGAACAAGTCCAGCGGAGGGCTACAAAGATGATGAGGGGACTGGAGCATCTCTCCTCTGAAGAAAGGCTGAGGGAGCTGGGCCTGTTGAGCCCGGAGAAGAGAAGACTGAGGGGGAGAATCTGATCAATGTGTATAAGTGTCTGAAGGGAGGGTATCAAGAAGATGGACCCAGACTCTTCTCCGTGGTGCCCAGCGATAGGATGAGAGGCAACAAGCATAAACTGAACCACAGGAAGTTCTGCCTGAACCTGAGGAAAAACTTCTTTCCTGTGAGGGTGACAGAGCACTGGCACAGGTTGCCCAGAGAGGCTATGGAGTCTCCTTCGCTGGAGATACTCAAAAGCCGTCTGGAAACAATCCTGGGTAGTATGGTCTAGGTGACCCTGCTTGGACTAGATGATCTCCAGGGGTCCCTTCCAACCTCAAACATTCTGTGATTCTGTGATAATACATGATCATAATCTGTGATTTGTGGCTAATGGAGGGTCCTTTGTTAAAGCGTGCCCTGACGAAAGGTTTTGATCAGCATTAAGTATGTGTGTGCAATAAAGATGGCTTTTGTTTTATTCTTCTATTTCTTATTTTATTGTCAGCAGTTATAGGCTATTATATTGGTGAATGCTTTGAAATAACAGGCTACTGAATTCTTTTTCTCCCTTCCATTCCCTAAAACCAGCTTTAATATATCCACACCTCCATTCCGGGGCTGCATGATGAATCTGAAAAACCCTAAAACGGCATCTGTTATTTTTGATGAGACTGTTGGTGTCAGCAAGAAATGTTCAGACCACTGGAGGGTAACTAACAAAATTACTTTAAAATTTTTGCTAAGCATGAAATTCAAGACCAAAAGGGATCACCAGATTGTAGAGTCTGATTAATCTATAAAACCAGGACCATTATATTTTGCTTACTTACCTGAAGTCAAAAATTACATTTGGTTAATATGTGATGATAACAAAGAGATGCTACTTGGTATGAAGATAAGAAAGAAAAGAGAATCCACTCCTACTTTGGTACTTTGCTCCAGTGCGTAGTCTGCTATCTTAGAACTCTATACAGTTAGGAACGCATATTTAGCATGTAAATTTGTTTTGGCTTTCAGTTATTGGCTAGCCCTTCTCCAGAAGATTTACACACTGAATACTACTCAGAATCTTTCTTCTTGCTGAAGTGCTTATGCTCTGTAAACAAATCACCTCTTGATTTTTTTTGTCTTGAAAGAGCTAAGCAGATACTACTTCCACTGAAGTCTCTCATTATAAGGCAACTTCTCCACTCACCAGATCAGTTTGTAGCTATTTTCTGTGCACCCATGAGTTTTGCCACATTCTTTTTAAAATGGGACAATGGGATGTTTCATTGTTGGCTTAACCAATGCTGTGTGAAGAGATGAAAATTACCACTCTGCTTCTACTTGCTGCTGTTTACGTGGTACACAATTGCATTTGCCCTTCCTACTATAGTATTGCACCGAAAGTTTGTGTTCATTTTCTTTCCTTCTGTGACCTCTAAACCTTTCACAGAGCAATTTCTTTGCTGGCTCTTTCCC